TTATTATTATTCTCTCTCTCTCTCTCTCTCTTCTCTCTCTCTCTCTCTCTCTCTCTCTCTCTCGCTCTCTCTCTCTCCAATGTTTTTCTATATTTATGTATTTTTTCTAAAAATACATAAGTCATAAAACACTTTTTTTTAACTTTTGAGAGTGTTCTAAAGTTTGTTTCATCCTAGTGCCGATTTTCACCTCTCGTAGCCTCCACGGCAGTTGGGATTATAACATATTGCTCAGGGAATTAATTGAATGGCTACGAGACGCAGAGCTTCAGGGACGCGTTGACCGCATGGGATATAATGGATGGATAGTCGCGGCTAGATAATAGATGGATGGATACGCCAGTGGATGATAATGGGTCGTGTCAAGTGCGAGACGAGACGAGACGAGACGAGACGAGACGAGCTGAACTAACCCAAGTGCCTACGATATGTACGCGACACGGGGTCGAAGGCTTCTCGTCCGTGACGTCACGATGCTCGTTCGTTGTCTCGCCTGACACCAGAGCTGTGTCTACATGTGTATAGACTATTATATACGTTATCTTAAGTCTAGCAAGCTACCTTTCACCACTAAATTCTTAGACAAAGAAGAAAATTTGTTTCAATAAGGATATCGAAAAAGAATTTTTTGTCTCTCAACTTGTCAATTCTTTTATAAAATACCTTTAATTAACTGTTATTCAGACGGATAACTAACATCCGTCATTTAATTTATAATTTCTTTAAAATAAAATCTTAAAAGCAAACCTTTAAACTGTTTATTTTTAATTATTAAAATCATCTTTCTAGTTACTAAATATTTCAATACAACTATTTTTAAAATAATGAAGAAATTACAAAATAACAAGAAGAATTTTCAAAATATTTTCCTTCAACACTATTTACAGACTATTGCAGATTACAATCGGTAACAAGAAAATGCTTAGCTCGATCTTTTGATTCCCCGATTTTTAAAGTATCCCATAGTCTTGTTCTATTCTTAAACGCATAACAATGGATAATTGTTTTCAACAATTCAATATTAATAAAGACACAGGTCTTTCACAAATGTAGACATAAATGTCATTTTAGTATAGCTTAATGCATACTGAGCCCGTAACAATGATAATTGATTATTCCTGGATAAATAGCACGATGTTTATTCATTAACCATATGTGAGCCCTGAATGTGATTCTAGCGTGGCACGTTACAATTAGTATAATAATAGTCGGCTCACCATTTCGATAACCTCTGCACAAGGATCAATTCCGACAATTGCTCGACTCGACCGAATTCTATTCCGCGCGCAAAAAAACTCTTTACTAACGACGCGTTTCCTCGTTCGCCAACGTCTGCGCCCAAGGGAATTAATTACCGCGGGTTAACCCGCACCGCTATAAATTGATTAAGCCACTGAAAGCAGCGTAATTTATCTTCCGCTTCGTTTTGTTGCAGATCAGTGCGGAAAGTGTCGCGCCAGCACGAAGAGGCTAAATCTCAACAAGTACTGCAAAAGAGACTACGGTAAGTGTTTCCGAATTCGAACAAGATTTGCCCTTTGCGGACAAAGGACGGTATATTAATTGCACTCGTCCTTCTGATATAATCCGGAACTCGCGGAAACCCAAACAACATGCACGACAAATGCCGCCATCACAGGGCTCTATAATTAACTCGTCCTTACGTGTACCGGCTATTACAATTATTCTCCGAAAAATAAAACGATTTATTCTAAAGTAAAGGGACACGTAACGAATTCTTTGAAATCTGCTCATACATTTAAAATTATCACACAAGATCTTTATAATTTTTAAAATACGATTTTTATTGTCTGGAAGGAAACTAATTATAATATGATTTATTTTCTAACAATTTCTTAATAATTAAGAGTGAACATATTGAGCCTGTAGAAAAAAATATCGGGAGAGATATTTTTCAATTTTCATTAAAAAATTCGAACTATCAGAAGTTTCAATGTGAGAGAATAAAGAATTAATGGTGTTACCTGTTATAGAATTACAAAGAGAAAAGTAACAGAACGCTCTTAATCCAATATCATTATATACTGACGAGTTAAACGAAAGCGGTTGTGGAAGCTATACGATAAACGTTGTGATATAGACAATCGTCAATTCCCGGCTGGGGCTCGATGTGAAAAAAACACTGCACGGCACAAAGCCACCGGAATTGTTTCGGCTTTTATCGGAGGATAGATGTGCGCCCGCCCCAGTAATGTGTGGAGGGCGCATGTGAAACAACGATTTATGTCGGAGTGCCGTTCTCTCACTCGAAGGTCCTCGAAAAAGTCGAACATAAATGTGTGCGCATAGAGGAACATGAAGAGAGAGAAACGAGGGGGGGATGGTAAGAGAAGAGGCAGTAGCGGATTTTGTGTCAGAAAACCCCTGTTACAAAAAATATATATATTATAAATAAAAGAAATTTACACTAAATTAAATCAAAATATCTATTAAATAAGAGGTAATGATAAATATTACATTCTTGACGAATTTTTTTCTTACTCTAGACTCTCTTGAGATCTTAAATTTTCACATAATTAATAATCGCTAATTATTTCATATTCTACTATCTCTGTACTTTAGAAGAAAACGTAAGTAAAAATGATACCTATCTCAAATCTCATTACTCACTTTACTGGATAAATGGTTCAAAACTATTTCCTTCAACTCATCGGTTTATATTATTAGGAACTCGAAGTTTACTAACCCCCCCCCCCCCTCCCCTCCCCATCGTTGTGGAGAACGAGAAAGAAAGGATGGGGGTTGTTTGCGTACGGCCGCGATTGCTCTCTCTTCTTGCGGTGGCGTGTATAACGGCTCGTTCAAAAATGAAAGGCTCGCGTTTTAACGGTGCCGGGGCTTTCAATAATAGAATGGTATGCCTTTGAATCGTGGTCCGGCGCGGGTTTGACCGAGCGGAGCGGCTTCGCTGCTCCCTGCTTCTTCTCCTGTCCGTTCGTTTGATTCAGCGCAGATAAATCTTCAACAGGTCTACACTTAGCTGTCTCCGACTTAGAATAGCGGCCGAAACGACCGCACATCCCGCAGCCGCGTCGCGAAAGCGAAACCGATCGGGAACGACGACGCCTCGTGCGCATACTTTCGCGTGTTTTTCGCCAGGGAGCCAGGACGCAACGAAGGGATGTCACGGAAAAGTATTTACAAAGCATCAAAACGCAACGCAAAAGAGCAATTTATGCAATTTCCTAATAAAAATGAAAGAATAAAAAAAGATAGAGAACAAGAGAGAGAGAGAGAGAGAGAGAGAGAGAGAGAGAGAGATATACAGTATACAACAAAAGTAACGGTTACGTTTTTAACTTT